TATTTTCGTAACAAATCTTTGTCATTTTGAAGTCGTCTGATCAATGACTGTAACCTACCTAGACACAAACCAAAATTGCCGTTTAGTTTGAGGTTTGTTTCTTTCTATGGCCATGACACCTGATACCGTCCATTGATTTTCGTAATGCTGTCCTTAAATTGGTTTAAGGCTTGTTCGTTATCTTCGTCATTAGGTTTGTCCTGTATTCCGATAACTTCTAATTTCCAGAAGCGGTCTATGTCTGTGGTAATACTATTGACGGATACAGTTGTTGGTGTTCTTTGTGGCCATTCGGATGTTGGCGTAATATCTTTACAGTTTGATATAGTTGTTACTCCAGTGAATTTAGGTGGCCTTGTTGCATCTCCACTGCTAGCTAATATCGGACCAACCTTAGTATTTATCAAGGAAAATCCTGATCTTATAACTTGGCATTGTTTAAATGGGATGAACTGAGAGAAGTAGTCAGCTCCGATGAGTATATCGGGGCGTTCTACGCATCTTAAACTTCTGTCTAATTGAATTTGATACTTGGTATGTCCAGTTGGTCTAATGGAATTACTGGCAGTGAGTTGGTTAAATATTCTATCACCTTCACTTTGAGGAATATCGTCTGGGAGTCAGTGGTTTTTACTCCAATAAACGTTGTATAGTACGGAGATGAAGTTGAGTATTTGTTGCTGAATGAGGCAATCCTCATGACTCCACTTTCACCAACCTCTAATTTCAATTTTTGCGCCAATTTTTTTGAGACAAACGATGTTTGCGCACCAGTATCGAAGACTACTATAGCTTCGCTTCGAATCTCCTGATTAACTGGATTGATAACATTGATTTTTCTGCATAGAAGTGAAACTTCTTTTTCCCTTTGATCCGTTTGGTTTTTGTTTGTAATATTGACGTTCACGGACTTGGCTTCTTCTTTATTTGATTCGTCATGCCCTTGATACTTCTCTTCGCATAGTGCTGTGTTGTGAGGGCCTTTGCAGTAAAAACAGGAACGTTTTCTGCTTTTACAATCCGTCGTCTTGTGACTATTATCAAAGCAGTTCAAACAGGCCTTTAATTCCTTCAAACGTTTCGTCCTTTGTTTTACTGTTGAGTAAACCTGACACTCATTATCCCAATGATCTTTATTACAAAATGTGCAGGGTCTTTTTGTTTTAATCCCTTTCGCCTTTGATTTGGGAATTGACACCGATAATGCTGAGGTTTCATTAGGGATAAATCGTGAAAATGGTTTTGACTTACTCTTTACTGGTTCTTGATTTTTTGTCATATTCAGGGATTGGATCCTCATTACTTCTTCACTTCTGAGCACTAGTTTCCCGAGAAATTGTCTCAGTTTATTTACTGACCATGATTCCTGTTCCTTTTGTTGATAAATCCTTTCAAGAATCCATGCTGGCAGTCTGCTTTCAACTATTATTTCAATACTTGACTGTTCCAGGTTCTCGCCCATCGCTTCCAGCTGTCGCAGTATTCTTTCGATACTTTCAATTGTCACTCTCCATTCCCGATCATTCTTTTTGGTCGAGTACAGTTCATTATAGAGTGACCTCTTGATTGTATATGATTGACCAAATTTTTCGACAAGAACGGTTCTGATAACATTGTAATTTTCTGGGGTTATATCATATCCCCTTACAGCTTGTAAGGCATCACCTTTCAAACAAGCAATAAGAATTTAATTTTTGGATATCTGGGATGTTTTGGAGGTGTATTGCAGCATCAAAGCTACTCCAAAATCCTCTCCATAACTTTGGGTTACCGTCAAATATTGGTAACGGTAACTGGGGCAAATTCACTGTTGTGTGATTTGCTGATGGTATCGTTTCGTTCTGTCGAGTCAGTACTCCTTTTTCAGTACTTTTTTCTAAGCGTTGAAGTATTAACTCTGAATCCTTTTCATACATTTTAAGAGTAATTATTACATCTTTACTATCACTAATTAATCTTAAAATACCTGTTTCATCGTCCACCATTTGTGCGTATTTTTCTTCTTCCTCTCTCCTTTTTTGCGGTGAGGAAATATACTGAATATATTGCTTCCACTCTTTATTGGTCGTTTCGAGAGATTCCAGATATGATTCGAGGAGCATCATTTTCTCGTTGATAATTCGTTTTCTTGTTTCGTATTGCTCTTGGATTTCTTCTGGAGTCATCATTGGATTCATTCTCTCCAAATCCATTTTTTTGATTTCTTCTAGAAGGCTTAATACCTTTTCTTTCACCGGTTGAACAGCTTTAACTATTATAGCTGACATTCCCGGCTCGTTGCACCAAATATGTATTGTGACTTTTTCATTTAGACTGAACGGGGTTTGTAAGGCTGTCACACCACAACAATATAATAATTTTTTATTTTTATTGAATATGGGGACAATGGTTTAGGTAAAACGTGAGTTTAAAAAAAACTATTGATATTGCAAAGAAAAAAAAAAAACCCACTCCCACACAGCGTTCAAAACGAAGGAGAAAGAAAGGGTGACCTTTTGATTTTTATAAACAATGATTCATAGTTTCGAGAAAATTCTCGACATTCTCGACATTGTTGTGACCTTTTTATTTTTATAAGCAATGATTCATAATTTCGAGAAAATTCTCGACATGCCCTTAACCACTATATTAAACCGGCGATATATTTATATATAAATTGGTAAATTGATATAAATTAATATAAATCCATTATATTTAGAAAATCAAAATCAGATGATACAAACCCTATAGTTTAAAGTTCCAAAGATATTTCATTTCATGATTAAATTAAAGATATTTGCACAAAAGATGTTTATGTTTAAGAAGCTTTTTTCTGATAGATTTATCCGGATTTCATATTGACACAAAAAATGGCTTCTTTTAGTGCAAAAAAAACTGATGATGTGCAATGATGATGATTCGTAACATTATACATTCTCATAAGATTTCATAAGATTTCATATTGATTTAGGAGAAAAATGGTTCAATGAGTTGTTACTTTCATTTGTGCCGCCGATGCCAGATTTTTGCTGCTGGCAGAAATAAAACTTTCTTTGGAAACTGAGTGGTGATAGCGATCCAGCTGTACTTTAATCGCCCAATTGAATTCCTTGCAAAATACGCCCAATCAGACAGGTAAATTAGCAGAACGTACCAGAAATCCGGACAAATCCGGACCAGCAGAGTGTACCAGAAATAGAAAGTAGTCTTCGAAAAAAAAGAATGGTGTATCAAATAATATAAAGTGGGCGAAAGTAAATTTATGCTTATTTTAGCTGCTTGCAAATCGAATTAGCTTTTCCTTCATAAGGATTGGAGCAATAATTGTTTGATCAGCAGTCATTTATAAAAAACTTTTCTTCAATCGTTGTTCAAATTTTTTTTTCGGTTGTCTTGAATACATACAGTTGGTCTCTAGTTTCTTTATTTAGAATACTGTACTGCTTGTTTCGTGCATATTTCCTTCTCTGATATGATTTTTTTCCATTTACTAATGGCAAAATCTCTAAAAGCTCCGTTATCTAAGGGACTGCAATCTAATTTGTCAATTGTTGTTCATATATTATTATTAATTATTATTATTGCTTGGATGATATAAAACACTGGTTAAATAGATTCATTTGGCCAATTTGGTCAGAAATTTTATATGAAACGACAATTTTTAGGGAGAAATCTGGATGGCACTATCTGAAGAAATAAAGACGGAATGGCGAAAAGATATACAAAGCCTTCGAGGACTTGCAATTATAAATATGTTTCTGTTTAGAGTGAAAAATAAACACAATTCTAGTCAACTTCTTGGAACCGAGATATTCTTTGCCATATCTGGCTATCTTACAACAATGACTCTAGATCATTCAATTACTATTTTTAGTCTAAAAGAGTATGCTATCAGAAGAATCAAACGTATCGTTGCTCCTTATTACATGACATTGTTGTTTATATTAATATGCAATCGCTTATTTTTTCCGGTTGTATCAATATGCCATTTTCCAGTAGCAATATTCCAAGTTTTTGCATTTTTTGTGGACTATTTCCATCAATTTTTTAAACTAAAGGTTACCTCTTTTTTACTTATTAAATACTATATAAGATAAATAAAGAACAAATAAAAAATAATAAAGAGAGAAATTTATGATAATCATTCATTCAATATTCAATAAAAAATCAAAATTTACAAATATTTAGTACGATTATCTCGGAAATCTGTGGTTACTAAAAGTCACTTTACAATTCTATATAATTGCACCACTTTTGATAATTTTAAAACGGCATTCTGGAAGTATATTCATTCTTTTTATTCTAATATATTCCCTGTTATTATATATTTTTCACGGCGACGTTTTGCAACCGATGATTTTGAAATATTTGTGGCAATTTTTAATCGGATTCTTTGCTTATGAATTTCGAAATAGTTTCCGTAAAAATGATCGAGGTAGAAAAATGGGAAAATTTTAACTTTTTTCTTTTACTGTTAAATTGACTAATCAAAGAAGAATTTAGAATATGTGGAAATAAGCGAATTTTAATTTTCTATTTTTTTACTTATTTCTTTTCTTAAATTGGCACGATAAAATGGTTATATATAATGTCGATATGTTGAAAATAAATCTAAGATGATTTGCACAGAAAGCTTTTAGTCAGTTTTGCTTTCACAGCTAAATTCACTGGTCAATTTATTCCAAGATTTAAGAGTGCAAAGTTATGAGAGATTGAGAAGGTTCTTTAAATAGATTAAGCTAATTTCAGTCCATTTCTTCGAGCTACACTGAAATTAAAACTCCTAGATATAAAAATTGCACAGTTAATAGAGCATTTGAATTTCGCCTCATTTTGGCTGATTTCGCCATTATTGTTAATTATTCACGATAAATGGCTCGATCAAATCGTTGCTTCAATGGCTACTGGCTGGATTCTGGTAAACTCGTTAAAATGGTCGATTTTCACTAATCGGTTATTAGTATTCATTGGGAACAGATCATATTCATTTTATTTGGCTTATTGGGCCTACGCATTTTTCATGGAAACAAAAGGAGATTTGGACTTTCATGGTATGAAATGCACTCATTAAAATTTATGCCAATATTTACAATTACAATTCTTCCCATACAATTTTCTCAGGTGTCTGAGCTGAAAGTTAAGAAAAAAATATATATTTGGAAAATTTCTGCATTCTAATTGTTAATGGAAAATAAAGTTTTTGAAACAATTTTCATTCCATTTTTCAGGTAAACTTGATATTATCTTTTATACGACTCTTATTGCACTATTTTTATACGAATATGTAGAAAAATTTTGCATGCGCTCTTCTAACAGCGCCTATTTTGCAATCGTTTGTGCAATGTTAGGAATTATGGTTATATTATGGTTATCGTCAATTAAACTCTCTTCTTGCGATGGAAGTACAATCTTGGATAAAAGTCTCATTTCTTGAAATCTCATCTATTTTTTCAAAATATCATAAACATCTCGAAAATATTTGTTTTTTAATCTTCCATTGTTGCTGATTAATTTATAAAAGAATATTTATAATATTTATAAATATTGAGAATATTTATAAAGAATATTTCTTTAGAGGAGGCATGCCAATCTGACCTGATTCCATATTTAAAAAAACAGAAATCCTTTTTCTACCATTTAGAATAGATACAACGCCAGTGCTTTCAAAGTTTCTTTTATCCAGCTTCAAACCTACAATCTATATCTTCACTGAAGCTTCTAAATATTGCTCCCAAATATCATTTGGTAGATATAGGAAATGTGAAGCCAAAGCAGTTAGACATAAGAGAAGATATTTAAGTATATATAAGTTCTACAAGTTTTGCATTTTAATTTTGAAATCCAAAAGTTATTGATTTTGATTCTGCTTATCGATTTGCGGTACTAGATTTGCTGTCAATAAACAAATCCAGCAGTATTCAGGGCTAATGGTGCCATCCTCCGGGCTAAATGGCATAATTCTTAATGCCAGTAAACGACTTCCATAACCCAATCTACCTCAAAGAATGAATGCAGTCTGATTCTGATTTCGAAAAAATATTTCACTTCAGTGCATTACCTGCATTGCTGTATATTTGTAAAATGCTTTGATAAATCACTTGTCCTTCTGTAGAGCACGATGACTCCTTATGACTCTATCTATTGTGTCGAAAGCAGCGAGCTAGAATTAAGTTTGGCCTACTCACTCGCATACTAGCCTAAGCCTAGTTTGAATCACCTCAGCACATCGCTTCTGTATTCACAGCAGTGTTCTACATTTGTATTGTTGCTTCAATATCAACTTACTCATTTCTAAATGATCTATATCAGCATAGGTTTAGATAAATTTGAAAATGATTTTTCAATTAGAATCAATCCAATCTGCCGTTTCAGAATTGGTGTAATATCACTGAGAATTTTCTATATCTTTGAACCTTTCACCTAAAGGTAAAGTCGGATAATTTTAATTCTACTGGATAAAATTGTCAGTTGCAATAATATTACCAGCAGTTATATTACCAGTCGAGTATGTAAGGACTCTCGTGTAAGGGTTGGCAATCTGCCTTGAATGCATCCGAGCAATATTTTGTAAATAGATTTCAGGATTTTGTCAAAATAACATTAATACAACGATATTTGAAAATTTCTATTAAATTTTAGTACTTTTAATATTCAGTACTTTTCTATCAAAAAATTGCAACTAATGAGTTATCTCTGATGCAAATTTAAATTTAAAAACCGCACAGGTTGATTTTAAAAAAATTTTTTTTGCCAAGATAACTCAGTTATGGCGATGTCAAAATCGACAAATACAAATCAGTTGCTAATTAATCCAACAATATTGTCAAAAGCTATTGAAATGAACAAACGCGGGATGCGTAAACAATATCCGACTCTGTTTCTGTTTAAAAAGATCAAAGATGATGCAACTATAAGGGAACTCACAAATTTTGGTGTGGTACAACCAACGATATCGTATTACGAATTAAGTCTTTTCATATTTTAACTTTTTTGAGATTTAGTGACATTCCTTCATCAAATTTTTTTAGGGTTCTGGAGACACTAACGTGGTCGTATATGGTGATAGTTATGCTTTCGCAGCACTGTATTATATAGCTCAAGCATTTTCATCATCGAGGGTTCATCAGATCCTACTGCTTAGCGCACCCGGATGCTTACCGATTTACGATACTGAATCGTACCGTAAATTCCCAAAATGCTGGCGTTTTGCGAAAGAAGCAGTGAAAAAAATTAGTGAATTCAAACCTGACGTTGTATTCTTAAATTTCAAGTATTGTAACTCATTTGAAGAATTTATTTGGTACCTCTCCTAGCTCCTGGATCAATTGCGGGTAATTAGATCTAATGTAGCAATGTACCAAAATGGAGCTATAATGGAAAATTACAGAAAACTTAAACTCGGGTTGCTAGTGGATTTCATAAAATTTTTGAACAAAAAAGTATTTAATTTTATAGTACTTCAGCTTTCACTACCCTCTCAATTTGTCTGTAAATAGCATTTCTGAAGATATTGTCTTTCACAAATTACAAAAAACTGTTGATGATATAATGAAATATACTAAACGAATTGTGCTCACATATCCTCATCCTACTTTAAGGTTATTAATTTATGATAATTGGTGAATTAAAAAATTATTTATAACCTTTTGAAAATTTAAAAAATGAGTAGAAATGCTTTGAGCAATAATCATTATTCAATACGCCTGAAACTAAGAAGATTTTCATTTTCAGCGTCCCTGTGAACTCAAATATTATATACAATAGGCTTGTAAGACGATTGCGACTTACTGATCTCAATATCCCTGTAAACGTGTTTTTAAAGGAATCCACAAACTGTTATCGACGAGTGAATGCTCTCGTATGTAAGAAATGCGATTATATATACAGTTATCGATGGTTTTGCTATGATAAGGTTTGTTGTTCTAACTAATAAACGCTTGAAAATCTTGAAATTCTCTATGGATTTAAGATACGTTTTGTGAAATAAAAGAATTTATGGAAAAAAATTCGAGAATTTCATTATTTCAAAATTTTTTCATTGCTTTTAAATTTCTGAGAAGTGGTCCATTTCTTCAAAAACCATAGAGTAATATTTAATATTTTGCTAATTTTATTTTATTTAGATTTGTTATGCCTATAATCCAAAGACATTCGTGGCTTATTACAGCGATATTATGCATTTGGGATTATATGGAATTGAATTTTTGATACCTTATTATAGGAATATCATTAATGAATTATACGCAAAAGGATATATATGAACCTATTTCGGATTTTTTAAAGGAAATAATTTCACTGAGCCGAAAACACAAAATAAATTTTAAAAGCCAATCATGAGAATTTTGGTTGTGCCAATTTCCAGTTTTTATTTTATTATATTTTAATATATCAAAGTAAATTAAATTAAATTTCTATCATAATGAAGAAACGATCAAAAATCTTTTTCTTAGTATTTTTGTTAAATATTTTAGTTGTATTTTGAATTTGAATCAAATAATTGTATAAATAATCACACTATTATTAAAATTTAATGTTAATTACAAAAATAACTTTCTGTTTCAGATAGTATAAAATCTTCTCAATTCATTGAAACGAAAGCTAACTGCACTAATTAGTCAATTAGCGTGCTTGGATAAATGTCAAAAAATTCTAAATTCTAAATAGATTCATACATATGTGAATTTATAAAAATGAATTTATAAAATATTATGTTCTATAGTCGGCCCTGGGGTGTATCAAAGATGAGCTTTCTTCGCTTTGTTGACGAGCATGGAGCACTGAGGAGAAATATGGCTATAGATATCTCGATAGATGATGAGTATCCAAGTCATTCATAGTTCACCTTCAACAAATGTTTTCTCTGGTATGGCAAAAAAATAATACCAGAAGAAAGCAATTCTGTTTCCAATTTCTAAAAAGATGACTGCCACAATTACCGAGGAACCTGCCTACTAGACATCTATCATGAAAATTTTTGAAAGGAGTGACTTACGTACTCGTCGATGTTTCACGAATTAGAGTTGGAATATATAACTAGTTGTAGATTTAGTTATATTGCCCAGATAGCAATATAATAGAACGATGTGCAAAATAGTATCAATTATATAACGAATTGAAATATACGATTACGACCGAAATGCAGGATTCTAATTGATAGATAGGATCTCGATTAAATATGAAGTTATTGAAACCGACTGACTAATAAAACGACCGATAAAAACCGATCTAGTCCGAATATTAACAAAAGAAACAAAACTGATAAATAAATATCCTCTGATCTATGGTCTTGTAAAAAGTAACAAAATAACAAAATTGAACAAATAAACACACGCTAGCCTTTGGTCCCATTCCTTCTTATTGTTTATGAGGAATGTTTTTTAAGGAAAGAAAGTGATTTTAATTTATAATTAGATGCATAAATTCCCTACAAATTAGCAGCATTCACAAAGTAAAGGAAAAAGGCATTCAGAAATACCTGATATAAGCTTATTTACGATTTTAAGCATGGAAAAATGCTTTTTTGGCTTTTCCGACACCAATATAATATAGATCGACGTGCGAAATAATATGTTGATATTAACACATCCAAAATATAGAGAACTGAAAATAGAAAGAAAAAGGACGTGAAATTAACTAGTGAAGAATGTAGTGTCAAAACTGAAAAATAACGCAAACGATGAACACTGACCCAAGAATGAAGCAAAAGATGAAAAACACTGACCCTTAGTACCATTCCTTATCGTTTATAAGGAAATGAGTAAAGAGATTTTTTTTACAATCAGACGTAAAGATCTTTTCAAACTGATAGTATTCTCATAGCCACAAAGAAAATTTACATATAAAAAACGACGGATGTACATATTTGTATTCAAAATTTGTACGTAAGGTTTTTAAAAAAAAATAGTTGTAAGAAGTACGGAAATCAAAAGCATTTTTTAGATGATTGGAAGATTAAATAGCTAACTCATGATTTTAAGCATAGGTGTACAGAAGACTTGGATATATATATAAAGAAAGCAATACGAAATTTTGGGTGGGAACACGGTGATTCCACTTCCAATATCCACCTTTACAAAATTCCTTCGGGAATCCACTCCACTATGTTTTCTGTATAGATTTAATAAATTTTTATTTCTCAACAATATTATAAATTCTGCGGCCATCGTTCTCTTCTCAATTATCTCGTTGCGAACCCTGAAACTTGGGTAATTAAACCTTTATTAGCAACGACACAAATATATATATATATATATATAAAACGAAACTGTTGTCCTATCACATATGAAAAATAATATGATACATAAAACCAAACATGAATATATATATATATATATATATATATATAAACCCAGTTCACCTTTTCCCTCTCCCCTCTCTTTTTCCCAGCAAAAGCCCAAAAAGGCCAAAAATCTTTTGGGAGCTTATATTTAATTTGAGATAGGCGGAAGATTTATGGTTTTTAATCCTCGCATAATAAAAGCTATATTGTACCTCTCACTTATGAAGTATATTGTACCTCTGATTCTACTATTATTATGTGATATTTTCTAATATCTTCTCCAATTCTTTTCTCCCTCATTTCACTAATTCGCTTGCTGGGAAAGAGATGCATAGCAGGTGCGATCAGGGTGACTTGCTCATATTTGCAGCGTTCTTCGCCATTCGGCGACAAAAGGCTTATTATTTCGATTTTTCCTGCAACATCTCTGGAAAAATTTTCGCTTCGCTTCTGCCAAATAGATTCATGGCAAAACGAGATAGCAGAATGCGTCCTAACCAAGCTGGGTTTAGACCAGAACTGGGATGCTGGCCAGATATTTACGCTAAGAAGGGTGGTGGAACATCGCTTCAAATGCCAGCAACCCAACGTCATTTGCTTTATCGATTTTGCAGCTGCCTTCGATTCAATTGATAGAGCAGAGGTTCTGGAAAGTAATGGAATGTGACAGTGTCCCACAGATTATTCGGCTCATAAAGGCATTTTATCAGCATACCCTGGCGCAAGTCTGTGTATATGGAGAACTGACAGATTCCTTTGAATAAAAACTGGTATCCGTCAACGCTGCATCCGTTCCCCCACAATATTCAACTATGCGATAGACCGCATAATGGGCATCGCTTTTCGGCCCTCAAGAGGTGTGCAAATCAGTCCAGAACATCGTATCACAGGCCTTGAATAAGCTGATACGATGAGTCTAGTCTTTTTTGCTGACAGTTACGACGAAATGCAAGTGATGCTAAATAACGTGTCAGAAACTGTAGCAATAATAGGACTGAGGGTTAATGTGCACAAAACGAAAGTCTTTTCATTTTATGTGCAAGAAGCTAATAAAATGCCTCTTTTTGTAAATTCATTGCCGGTCGATTTGAAGTGCCCTTTTTTAAATACCTTGGGTCCACTCCAATACCAAAGACGATATTATAACCCAGCAAAAAACTTTTTTGGTTTTAAAAAATATTCTCGATTTATTTCTGTGAATTTATTAAATATATATATACATAAAATTTATGATAATAATGTAAAACAAATAATATTTAAAATAATTATTCTGTAATGTCAAAAATCAAAAATCCGTGTGGTTGCTGGGGACCCACCTGTATCCTATGGTGAAAGAATCAGATATTCTTGATACGGCGTCCGCGTCTTCCAACGCGCATGATACTTCCAGCCCGGTAGTATCCGATAAGTACCAGAGCTTAAAGCGATCCCAAGATTGATAAATAAAATGTGTTCGCAAACCAGGATAATTGTTCGAAACCTATCAAGAGAACAGCTCTTTGCACTCGCGGCGAGGTACTGGCGTGGAATGTCAGAATGGTTATGGACGTTGCAAGTCAAGTGATCATTATCCACACTATCTTCACTATCTTTATCACTATTTTTCTAAATATCGTGTGGATATCGCTTGTCGGAGGTCCGTCTTCCTTACTTCAGGTCTCGAGTAATTACTAATCCTAGCTCGTAGCAAAAACACTGGCTATATCACTATGATGCTTCGGATAAATAGGGAGAAATGGCGCAGCGATTATCATGTCTGACATGGCCCATTCTGCTTAGATTGAGTTGAAACCGGTAACGACCGTACGATCTATGCCCATTTTAAGGGTAAGTTTCGCAATATCTCGGTCATCAGTGTCTATGCTCCAACTCTGCAGATGACCGTGATAAAGACAAGTTCTACGCGGAATTGCTAACAAAATCTCTATGGAAACATGGTGTGGTCGTAATCGGGAAAGACTGGTATACCCGTGTAGCTCATAACGCTTGGCAATTGGCAAATATGGCATCGGAGACTGGTGCGCTAATGGGGAATGCTGATTATATACTAGTCGCCATTGGAAAAGTTCTGTACTAGATGGGCTTTCTTGCCGCGGCGTTGAAACGGTCAATCTTCATGAATCTGACCATGTTATGATTGGAGCCAAGATCCGCATAAAACTGAGAACTCGCAAAATCAGCATCCCCAAAGATCCTTTAATTATTTCAAACTAAAAAATTCGGATGCAGTGAGCGCATTTCCAACCGAATTATTGAAGCATCTCAATGATACAATATTTTTCTGGAACGGCAAATGAATACTGGTCCAAACTGAAGGAATGTCTTTGAAAGTCAGCCACTTTCACGCTAGGCATTGTTGTAGGAAGTGCGCTAGTTGGGTATCGGAAGCAACTGTCCAACTGCCTGAAAAAACTACCAAAGCAGGAATATTAGGTGATCCTGACCACCGGATGCTTCGAAGATTTGTAACGAAAGCAGCATGACGCGGCAGAAATCATTAATGGATTGACATGGCCTCAAGAATGAAGACGGCAGCTCGATTAGGCGATAATAGGAAACTATTCTGCCTTCTTCATCTAAAAGCAATTATAATTCGGGGAACGATCAATTAAATGGTAAGGGACAACAATGGTTTGCTAGCAAAGAGTATTAAGGACCGCCTCATAAGATGGAAAGAATTCTTTGGGGCCAAACTTAACCATGAAGCGCCATATGTTTACTCTGATATAATTGATACGTTCGCTGAACCATACGCTTGTGAGCCCCCGACAGAAGAAGAAATAATGTCTGTTATCCATAAGCTTAAGGAAGAAGAAATAATGTCTGTTATCCATAAACTTAAGGCCAATAAGACGCCGGGAGAAGATGGTCTTCCAGATGATGGGCTGAACTCTTTAAATGTTGTCCACCGTCATTCATAACGCACCTTCAACAAATGTACTCTCTGGTATCTGAGAAAAAGAAATAAGACTGAAGCAAAGCAATTCTACTTTCCATTTCTAAGTGATAGAAAGTGCTACGACAATTACCGAGGAATCAGCCTGCTAGATGTCTCAGAAAATTTTTGCTTCCCGTTTACTGAACAGACTTATGGAAATATGGGACAGTAGGACGCACCCTAATCAAGCTGGATTCAGACCGGAGTGAGGTTATGCTGACCAGATATTTACGTTAAGAAGGGTGTCGGAACATCGCTTCATCATGTGTTTCATCGACTTTGCTGCTGCCTTTGATTCAATTAATAGAACGGTGATTTGATAGTGTTCCAGAGAAGATCATTCGACTCATAAATGCATTTTAGTACGTCAACGTAGGTCTATGTACATGGGGGAACTGACAGAATTCTTTGAAATAAGAAATGATGTGCGTCAAGATTATATCCTTTCTCCTGCAATATTCAACTATGCGATAGACTGGGTGATGGACACCACTTGTCGGCACTCAAGGGATATCCAATTCAATCCATAGCATCGTATCATAGATCTTGAATATTTTGCCACATATTTCGTTGCTTGCTAAACCGTATGATGAATGGCATCAAAAGCGAGATGAATCAAGACTTGGACCGATACGGTCAGGGAAAATTTTGAACGTATAGGTGGACCAGCAATATATGGACTTAGACGATGGAGAAAGGAATGGCTTTTATTATTGTCGACGATGGCATAAGGCCGCGCCGTTTAGAAGCATCTTACCCTTGTAGCCGTAGGAGTCAGCCAAACCAGTAATGGTGAGAACTATTAGAAGGAGAAGAAGGATGGCAACCAAGAACCTCTATTTTTCAGGTGGGGTCCCAGGGCAAAATGCTTACCTGCCCTACCTCTTGGATACCTGGATTAATAAGGTTCGCATCAGAGGCTGAAAGACGGATATTTGATGACATGTGGGCTATTGAAAAAGCACAGTTATTGTGCGGTCAGTTTGACGTAGAAGAGAGAAGATAATCTAGAAGTGATGAATTGTTACTAATAGTAGACCCAATCAAACAGGTTACGTATGAAGACACTGTGGAAAAAAGGCAGTAACTGAGAAAGATTAGTGGCTCAATGCTTAAATACAAGAATGAGAAAAAAAACTGTTCTCTTAGTTGGAAATGCATCAATTCTGCACACTTCAGACGTGAAATGTTTAACAAGAAGAGATGTGCACGATACAAGCTGGGAACCTGGAAATAGCCTTCTAACATGTTACAAGCAGTTGTTTCTTATTCAAAGTAGTTGACATAAGGCAAAAAATCTTGAAAAATTATGAATAAACTACTATAATTAACCATCGAGACCGAGACTTAGTGAAGCACCACCAGATAATAAATTCGAAAATGCAAATAAAGCCCTCGCAACAATCCCTTCTCCCCACTATAACTGAAATTAATGAATTGGTGTACGCCACAGCCATTGTAATTTTCGTAATGCTGGTGTGTAAAATCAAAAAGAATGCAATTCGCCCATGAAAAGGAGGCTGGAAAATAAGATCACTTAGTCAGCTGACAGAATTACAGAAAGGTGTGAAGAATAAAAATTATAATCGGATACTGGAAAATTACGAAATCAAACTGATTCAATACCGGTTTTGGAAAAGATAAAACTATATAAAGAGGATACTTAATATAGCACGCCTTCAGAAGCTGTTAACAGCGCATAATATGGAATTCTACCAGATCTTAGGCGAAGTATAGAGCGATTTTGTATTTGTTTATAGCAGTGTATGAGACTTAAAATAAAGGCGCTATAATGCATATAATCACAACATATTTGTTAAGGATTTGGCTTCATAATATGATGATTTCTTGAAGGGTTTAAAGATGAAAAGTGATGCGTAAACCACAAGATTCCCGAAGGGTTTTTTATGCAAAGTTTAATATGCTTTGACAACGAGGATATAAATAGAGGTGTAGCAACATATCCAAGGCTATAACGGACATAAGCTTTGATAAGACTACGAGTTGCTGTAATAAATTTGTAGGAAGCGTTGAGGAATAGTAGTTAATAGTAGTTAAAAATAAAGTTTTGTGCACTAATTGAACTTGTTCGTGCATTTGTAATTTGTTAATTTTGCAATCAGTTTTTTTGAGAAACTGCGTGAGCTGAATAGTGAGGAAAATAGTGAGGAAACCAATCGCATTCTGATAGTGAGTATGTTTTGGAAAAATAGGAGTAGTAACGATGCTTACTGGTTTATAGAAAAAGTTAGTGGGTAATGATAAAAAAGTTTTAAAAGCATATAATGAAGACTGTGATTTCGAAATTTGAGAGCAGAATAAGGGCGCTTTATGGAAACAAATCCTCCTCCTTCCTCTTTGCAACAAATGCGAATTATTAAAGCGTATAAGTTGCTGAAAAAGCTGAGGACTTTTCATCCTTTCTTGAGCTAAATTACCTAATGTGCTCGCACAACGTATGCATTAAATTCTATTATAATGTATATCTTTAGGCTTTATTTACTAGAAAATTTTCAAACAAATTACTATTTTTATTGAGAAAAATAAAGAAACGATAAAGAGTGGATTTTTTAAATAAAAGTCCTTTTCAGCGATTAATTCGCAAAGCATTTTAAAATTATTACTGAATGTAATTATTACTGAATGTAACATTAAAATGGCTTATTTTAAAAAATTTTTCGAAAGAAAAATCGAAACAATTAGAGTTTTTCGATGAAATTCATCAGAATAGCGTCATATATATTCTTTTGTGTAAAGTTCGTTGACAATTTTCGCGTAGTAAGGTGTTAAAAATTCAATCCCATGCAAACCCAAGTGTGCGCCATCTTCATAATATAAAACAAATGTCTTTGGGTCGTAAGAATGGCATATCTGAAGTGTATTAGAAATGTATTATTTCGGCTCGCTTAGCTCTTTCAGAATTTCATAGTAGCGAAAGAAAAAATAAATTTTTCTTCCTTAATGCTTATCGTTTGTATTATTGTAAAAAAGGCAAAAATTGTTGTTTGAAAAGGCAACTTCCGCCTTTTATACTATTTAAATAAAAATGACATGACCTTCGATTAAGAAGCGCCAGATTTTGACTATCTTAGGACCACTCTTCATCAAATATCCGATGATTTTTTTCAAAAGAAAATCGAAGTAGAATTTTAGCGCTCAAAAATGAAAACGTTTTTATGAATATCAAAGAGTCAGTCCAGAAGAACAAACTTTGTCATAACAAAACCAGCGATAACTGAATACATAATCGCATTTCTTGCATAGGAGAGCATTGATTCGTCGAAAAGCATTTTTAGAAAATTTTAAAAACCGATTAAAAGGCATATTGAAATTCGCAATCGGTGTTTTCTTGATAAGCATATTGTAAATTATTTTCGGGCTTACAAAAACGCTGAAAGGAGAATAAATTTTAGATAACTGAAGTGATTACATAGAATTTTGTAACTTTTTGCAGGCCAAAAAAGCAAAAAAATTTTTGAAATTCAGTGTTTTTCTTTGAATGATAACCGCAAGTAGGGATGAGGATATGTGAAGACTATTCTTTTCGTGTGTTTCATAATATCATTAATAGTTTTTTGCAGCTTATAAACGACAATATCGTCAGAAATGTTCTTTATGGGCGAATCGAGTGGCTGGTGAAATCTAAAATGCTTAAAGTTATTATTATTTGCACCAATAATAAATCTCATCGCAAGCAACATCGAAAATTTTTCATTGTCCATTGTCTTATAGTTATTGCATTTCGAACTGATTCGACTCAAATGCCGGCAGAAAAGCCGGCAGAATAGTGATAAGCGAATAATAAAAAACTCATCAGCACAACAGCTCACGTGGTGTTTTTGAAGAACGTTTGTATTAAAAGTGTGCTAGAATTTAAATGAATTACTATGAATTACTTGAAATTTAAAAAAACGACGTCAGGTTTGAATTCACTAATTATTCTTAGTGCTTCATTCGCAAAAAGCGAGCAATTCGGCCATCTATGGAATGATTCTGTGTCGTACATCGGTAGGCATCCGGGTGCGCTAAGTAGCACAATGCGATGGATTCTGGATGGCGAAAATGCTTGAGCTATATAATAGAATGCTGCAAGAGCTAAACTGTTGCCATATACGACCACGTTAGTGCTTCCAGAGCCCTAAAAAAAAGTGAATAAAAAGAATAAATAAAATTTGTCAAAGTATGCCAAAAAATCGTGGAAATTAAAATAAATATGTAAAACTTAATTCATAATAAGAAATCGTTGGATCTTCTACGCCATGATGTAAGAGCTTTGAAACAGCTGCATCATCTATGGTCTTTTTAAATTGAAGGAGAGTCGGATATTTTTTAAGAATAGCATGTCTGTTCATTTCAATAGCCTTAGATAATATTGTTTGATTAATTAGTAGCTGATTTGCATTAGCTGATTTTGATATCGCCGCTATTGACTTATCTTCGCAAACAAATTCATTAACTGTAAAATTTTTATTTTCGTATCCAAATCGTTTAATTTGTGGGAAAAGAATTTTTATTCTGGTTTTTAAAAATTTTATTTATAAGAGATTCATGTTAGCCAAGGGATTTTATAAGATTTTATTTTTTAATTAGCTTTAAAAATTCTTTTCTAGGAGCGTTCACTATTTTTGATTTGGCTCGCTGGCTTCTCGGACCAGAAAAATTTTGCCAAAGAATCACTTGTAAGTATAGAAATGCAAATGAGCACCAGCACCACCCGATTTTCATCCTTACCGAGAAATAGAACCCAGCATTGATATTTCAGAATGAGAGCAACAATCCACTAGCTATTCTATCACCAATTTTACAAATTTTTAGGAAAATTTGTCGAAAAATTCAAAAATTTTATTGTTCTAATATATATTTTGTCAACGTTCTTGGAATATTTTCTAAAAAAAATTGGATACTTGTATTTAAGGTTAAATCTTCAGTACATGAAGAAAGCATAACTGGCGATAATATGAGTATTGCGCTCAATATTCCACTAACAAATATTATTGCAAAGCAGACATTGTCAGAAGAACGAATGAAATATTTCTCTAAGTATTCGTAGAAAAATAATGCAATAAAAGTTGTATAAAAAATAGCATCGAGTAGGTCTGAAAAATGCTCGAAATTTTGCCACAATATTGTTGGAGAAAATATCAGAATTGGAGTAAAAGCTTCCGATTTTAACCATATTTTTAACTTCTCGAAATATCTTTGTAAAAGTAAAATTTCATTTAATTTGCAATTCGAACAACTGAGAAAATGAAAAAAATTGAAAAATTTATAAAAATTTTTGTATTCAATACATTCATGAAAGTTCAAGTCTCCTTTTTTAATGAAAAAAGAGTAAATCCAGTAAGCTAAATAAAATGAATAGGATCGATCCCCAATGAATACTAAAAATTGATTTTTAAATATTGGCCAATTCAGTGAGTTTGTTAGAATCCAGGCAATTGCTACTGTAATAATTATTTGATAAATACGTTCATCGTTGATAACCAACAATAATGGTGAAATGAGCCAAAGCGATGCCAAATTTAAGTGTTTTATTAATTGCTCCGTTTCTGCATCTAGAAAAAAAATCTTTTCCTATAAATTGTCCAATTATTTTTATAAATTACATTCTACTGATTGCTACAGAGCGGTTTAATCATCGTCTTGCTCTCGAGTCAGTAATATACTGATCTGTTATCTGTTATTGATTTAATCAATTGGAGACCCGTCGTTTTTTTTAAAATTAGCTCTGATAGCGCGCTTGCACACTTGGGCCATGTCATTCGAGATCCTGTTCACCATATTCCGAGTCGTATATCCTAGAGTGGATTTGACCTACTGCTGAAGAGAAGAAAATTTCAGCTAGTACCAACTGGAAGTCCAAGAGGTATGCTGTTGCTAAAACCCTTTAAATGTACCAGATTGAAATGTGTCAATTTTTGACAACTCTCGCCACTATTGGTTAGGCTGGCTTCGCTAGCAATAAGGGTAGGACATCTCCAAGCCCACCATATGCACTAACCAGCGAAGCGCAGTATGCAGGTGGTATTTTGAGCGAAAGTGGATATAAACAATTTTATCCGCTCGGAAGACCCGTAAGATGTACTTTAGATTTGAGCGGTCAAAAGCAGCTTCAAAAAAATATGCCAATTAGCACTGAATTTTTAACTTGGGTCAAAAGATTTTAAGGGATCCTGCATTTTGCACGTTATCAGTCGTTTCATCCGAATTTTGGCTCTAACCAAGAAGTGATTTAATCTGTGAATGTTGCCAGCACGTGCGCAGATATCTGGTAGAAAACCTC